ATTCAGGATGTTGAAAGTGCCTTCACCCTTGTGTGGATTCTCTGATGTTTATTGAGTACTGATCTCTGACTAAAGGTCTTCCCACACACATTACACTCATAGGGTTTCTCCCCTGTGTGAGTTCTCTGGTCTTTGGTAAGAGCTGATTTTTCACAAAAGGTTTTTCCACATTCAGGACATTTATAGGGTTTCTCCCCCATCTGAGTTCTTTGATGTACTATAAGGTTTGACTTTATGCAAAATGAGTTCCCACATTCATTGCATATAAATGGTTTCTCCCCTATGTGTGTCCTCTGATGGACAGTCAGGGCTGACCGGTGGCAGAAGGATTTTCTGCACGCATTACATTCATAGGGTTTCTCCCCCGTGTGTGTCCTTTGATGTTCAGTGAGGTTTGATTTGACACAGAATGTTTTTCCACATTGCTTGCATTCATAGGGTTTTTCTCCCGTGTGCGTTCGCTGATGGTTGGTAAGGTGTGGCTTCTGGCAAAAGGCTTTCCCACATTCAGTGCATTCATAAGGTTTCTCTCCTGTGTGTGTTCTCTGATGTTGGGTAAGGTTTGATTTCTCCAAGAAAGTTTTACCACAGTCACCACATTCAAAAGTTTTTTCTCCTGAGCGAGCTCTTCGAGACTGGGTGAGATGTGATTTCTTACTGAAAATTTTCCCAGTTTTCTGGTAGTCATAGTGTTTTCCCACCACATGTACCATCTGATGTTTAAAGAGAGTTGACTTTTCCCAAATTTTGTTACTCACTTTATATTCTTGGGCAATCTTTCTTTTGTAAGCTCCCTGATGAATAATGAAAGCTGAACTGTCACAGAAGATTTCCTCATATTCATTATGTTCATAAGGACTGTTCCCTGTAAGAGCTCTCTGATGTCCAAATTGTAAACCCACTAAAAAGGACTTCCTACAAATACTGCATTCATGTGGCTCAATATCCAAAGGAATTCTCTGAGATACACTGAGCTTTAAAGTGTCAGTGAATTTGTAGAGTGTCTCCCCTATCTGAGACTTCTGACTTGTAAAAAGGGCTGCTTCCTCATGGAAGCCTGGTCCGTTTCCATTATACTCAAAAGACTGGTCAGAAATTGGCTGAGTGAGAGTTTGGCAAAAGCTGAGGACATTCCTTCTTTCATCGTAGTTACATGATTTTTCTCCTACAGGAGTAAGGAATGATTTCTCTCACACATTAAACTCATGAGGCTTCTTTCTGGAATAGTTCTTTTTACCAATAATTATGCCTGAAATATTTTTCAAATTCATTTCACATGAATCACATACTTTGAGCAGAAAATTTCTTGAAGAAATGGGGTCCATGTTGAGACGGAAGGCCTTCTGCCTGCTGTCACTTTCCAGGCTTACCGTCTTGTTGGTGAGCATGAGCTGCAAAAACGTTCATCTTCCTGTCTGCTCTCCAGTAGGTCATCAACTTTCCATTTCCTTTCTAGAAATGAGAAAAATTACCACATCTTATGAATATTAATACATTTCGGATAGAGTTGGATTTTTACAGAAATTCTCTATTCTACAGCCAATTCTTCCATTTTAGATTCAGTTACCTGGTATGGAACTGAATCCAAAAGGTGTTTCATTTATCATCTCAGTTTCAGGAGAAAACAAACATCTGCTGTGGAAGCAGGGATGGGATCTGGCTATATCTAAATCTTAGAAATATATTTCTTTTTAAAAATTTTTTCTTTTATGTGTATGAGTACTATGCCTACATGTGTGTAAGTGCACTTGTGTCATGCAATGCCTTCATGAGGAGGGCAGAAGAGGGCATTGGATCCCTTGGAACAGGAGTTACGGATGGTTGTTAGCCTCCATATGGTGCTGGGATTCAAACCCAGGTTCTCTGTAAGAGGAGTCAGTGCTCTTAACCACTGGGCCATCTCTCCAGCCTCCAAAACTTTGGACATATATTTCAAAATGAGACATAAAAGGTTAAATAAAATTCACAATGTAGTGCACAGAGTGGCTGATTCAGATACCAGAATGTTCAAGACAAGGAGGTGAGCCCAACAGAACAATGAACACAAGCAAAGTGCCATGAGGATGAGAGGCAGGTGGATTTCAGGGGGTGAGCTGCATTGGGTGGGAAGAGAAAAGATGAGCCCTGAAGTATCACACAGGGATCACTGGGAAGATTCCCACCTGAGTCCATGCTTTTCTATAGAATGCAGCAACCCCAGATTGAAATTCTGCAAACACAAACTTCAAGCTCAAAAGAAAAGCCTAAAAGCCTAGGATAAAGTTTTTCTTTACTTTTTTTGGTCTTTTTGAGATGGTCTCTGCATCTGATGGTAGCCCCAGTTGTCCTGGAACTCACTATGTAGACCAGGCTGGCCTTGAACTCACAGAGATCCCCCTGCCTCTGCCTCCCAAGTGCTGGGATTAAAAGTGTGTGCCACCACGCCCGGCAGGCAAGTTTTTCTTTACTTTTGTTGACAGGAATAATTTTCTAAAATGATGTGGAAAAATATGCTATAAAAGGTGAAAAAGACTCAAAACAGGATGAATACCAGATAGAGATCAAGGAACAGAAAATTCACAAGAGTAGAGGTTGGGCAGTTTTTGAACACATACAGTGTCTGAGAAATGTAGAAGGATTAGGCTTGGCAGAGGCACAGCATGGCTTCTACCCTCATCTGCTCGTGTCCTGGTTCCTTGAAACCCTCAGAGCATGTATTTTCTTACACTACGTTTGAGTCTGCCTTTATTTCTAAGTTTTTTGTTTACACATAGACTTTATGCTTTGACATTTTCCATCATCTGGGTCTTTTATTTACTTATGGAGCCTGTAAGAACCATAATTATGTATCTGGTACTGAGATTTTTCAGTTTGCCATAAAAATCTTGACTACACTCTAGGCAGCCAATGCAACAATATTAATCATATGCTTAATCTTTCTTAATCTCTGGCCCTTGAGTCTACTGCTCCAAAGACTTAACATCTCCCAATTAAATGCTACTTTAAAATTATGAATAATAATAAAAGAGAATGACATTAAAAATCCATGCCATCCTGAGTCCACTCTATCACTGTATTTTGAAATGAGTCCTTTGCTCAATGTCCCACCTCTTGCTGGAACCAGAGTCTGGCTCTTGGCAGTTATTACTAGTCTTCTTTCCTCTGTATCATTTGAGGAAACAGTAACATTTCCCAAAAGCAATATGTACTTGGAATATTTTCAACTTTTCCCTGATGAGTTGGATACACAGAAGAGACTATGGGAATGTGTATTTAGGAAACATACTACAGTTCTGAATCTATCAAAAGGATGATTGCTCTGAAACCTGGCTCCATAGGTAGCCAATACTACCAGAGGATCAGGACAGGAAAGCTAAGAAGCCCTTCTTTTTGGAAGAATAAAATCTCAGCAGGGAAAGAAGCTCTAAGCAACAACCACATGTTCAGGACTGGGCCTTTAGTCACTGGTGGGTCACAGATATAAAATATGTGCTAGTAATAGCAAAAATTTGCTTTACCTTTAAATAAATGAGATAATAAATATTCAGTGTCTGAAACATTTATATATGAAGTATCAATTATTTGAAAAAAGATGAAAATGCAAATTTTAAACAAGTGAGAGAATATGAACATATTTAAAGTATAAGAAAGTATGAGGTATAGTATTTGTTCTGGAAAGCAAAAAGAAATAAATAAGTGAACTAGAATCATGCAATTGTCAATGGCAGAAAGCTTTCATTTCATCTTTTTTTATAGGTTACTGAAAGAAAAACTGGATGCTTCATATGAAAAAAAAAACAGTTAGGAATTACACCATGTGAAGAATAAAGAAAACACAGACATGGCCTGATTTGAATGTGATCAGTGAAAAGTAACCACATGGACAGATATAGGTGGTTTATACAAGGGTATGAGGAGACCAGTACGAGCCGGCAGATTTAGTGGAGGGAACCTGTAGTTGCTACTCAGAGTAGTAGGATGGGAAAATGGAACTACAATCAGTTCCTGGGGAATAGGCTCTGGGTTGTGTAGCTCATGTTGCTCCTTCTGTATCTACTAATGGATGGAATTAATGCCTCTGTGAAACGGTATCATCCGGTAACAACTCTAGCCTACATAAAACTATGTCCTAGAAAAGAGGCTGGTGAACTACCACCAGAAGGCAATATCCCTGCAGATGAAGTATCTTTTATGTTTTCCCCAAGGCAAGTGGTAGAAGAGGCCACAGGGAGGGGGGGGGGAAGTCAACAAGGAGGAGGCGCAAATAAAAAGAGGCAGAAAAACAGCGGTGGCAGCGGCCAGGACTCCAAGCAGCCACTTCACGTGAAACACCTGTTACCTGGTCTTTTACAAAGAAATCAACAACTCTGCTCTAGATTTCATCTGCCCTCACACACAATATAAAGCTAATGTCTTTCCAACACATACACCTAGCTCCAGCTTCAACTAGGCATTCCATTTGTAGGTAACTCCAACCTTGCAGTCAATTCACAGGCTGGATCTGAACAGCTACCCCCAATTTTTCCTGCCCCAAATTAAATCTGTAATAACTCCTTTCCTCATTGTTTTTCTCTGTCTCGGTAAATGGCTTCTTAATGTCGCTAGCTGCTTGAGCTTACGGTCACATCTGACTCCCCTTTCTCTAGAACTCTTTATGAAGCAACAGATCCTTGTGGCTCTATCTTCGAGATGTTTGCAGGAACAGCACTCCCCAGCACCTCTGGAATGGCAAACTTTACCTGTTCAGGGAGCGAGGTCTTAATATATTTATACATACTGAAATGTCTGTTATAATAAAGAAAATCAGTATATCCATTATCTCACATAATTAAGTCCAAGTTCTTCTACTGACTTCCTCAAGAATCTTCTAAGCAACACTGTTACAGATTAAGCCATACATCCTAACAAGCATTTCTGTCCCTCCTACTTTGAATTGCCTTTCAGGAATTCCTCTAGAAATACATATTTCTTTAGAACAATTTTAAACCTATAATGTACTGTACAGTAGCTATATTATACTATATATTATATGAAATGTCTGAACATTTTTAGTGTTACAACATTGTTTAGTGGGAAATTCCCCTTACTCATATACGAGCTTTTGAAATGCATCTGATTTAGGAGACTGACCCGGAGTTTGGGTCACCTAGGTGAATCTTCCCAACAGAAACAAAAGGGTTACTATAGAGACAGCACGAAGGCTGAACTGAAACAAAATTTCTAGAAGACTTGATTTATCATCCAGGTACAGCCTGTCAGCTCTGACCGCTGAAGCAGAGAGCTCAGAGGCTCTTAAAGTGACACTCTCCTAATTTCCAATGCTTATGGCAAGCATGGCTCCCGACAACCAAGGTGAATCATCGTGTTTTTCCTCTGGGTTTCAGATCTCTGATAATTTATCATTTTATAATTTTAATTATAACTTAATTTAATGAGCAACACTGAGCTGTTTAGTTGACATACTAGTGTCACAATAATTTATGTTAATAAAGAAAATAATTGTAATGTTTTAAAGGTCCTTGGAGCTCTCATTTTCAAACAAGTACTCATTATTAACTTGGTTCAATAAATGTAGCTCAACCAGTACAATCGTTTAAAAGCTGTGTTTAAATTAGATTTTAGAAAATAAATATGATAGTCTATAACTACAAGTATCATTTGAGATGGTCTGGCATACCTCCTAAATGAGAATTTCATCATCCTAGGTTTTCCATCTGTAATAAGTGAATTGTTGCTATCTAAATGCTTATTCACTTGTGGATGTTTATAATTTAAAGGAATCATATATATACTGCTTATTAATTAAATTTAAATGTAACATTGCATAAGATTAATTTCTAAGTTAATTTTTCCACTTTCTTAAATAAGTCTGTATCCTTAATTACTGTTGTACTTATTTAAGATAATGTCTCTTATTTAACTTAAACATTATAAGTAGTATTTGGCTCATTTCAGATGCATCAGGAGTTGGGAAAAAGCATAAATAGAGAACTAAAAGAAGGTATGTTACGAAAATTTATGGATCAAGTTTAGATTAATTGAAGGGAGGTATCCCTTGCCTGGCATTGGGGTTTTGGGTAGATAGTCTGTGACTCTTTTGAGGAGCATCAGTCCATTATGTGAGGTAACTACACACACACACACACACACACACACGTAATATGGTGTATATAAAACCTACTGGTCCAATTAGTGTTGGCCTTATTTGTATGTGATTAGTGCTGACCACTTGGGATTGGGGTCTTGTCCCTGAAAAAAACTGATTGACGGCCTATAGCTCTTCATCTGTGGGGCCTTGTGAAAATTTCATCCATGTTGTTATGTCAGCTGGTGTGCTCTCTACAGGTCTTGTGCAGGCAACCATATTGTTGAGGTCATGGATGTAACATCCCTGTCCTATCCAGAAGACACTATCTCACAGCAATCATCCTGGTCCTCAGCCCCCCGCCACACACACACATTACCTGCCCCCCAACCAGCAAGATAAAGATTAGTGAGGTTTTTGTTAGTCTGTGACTGCTGTGGGGAGCATTGTCCTCTCCCCTTCTCCACTCATGGTCTCCACTTTCCTGACTTCTGTGGTTTACACCAAGTTATACAGTCAGACCTAAAAGTTCAGATCCAGGAT